GGACAGCGAAGCGATGTCCGCGAAGCTACAAGTACCATCCGGCATATGGATTTTGAACGACATGGGGTCCAGCACAGTTTTTGACTGCACTCGGAGTATAAATGATATTACAATCCAGCAATAGTTCTGCCAACAACGTGTGCCGCAATCCAAGTGTCGATCACGCCTTGAGCTGAAGACAAGTCTGCGCCAAGTTCAGGTGCAAACCTCAGCCAGTGCTCCAAAAAACACCGTGGGCTTGGCATGCGATATATGGGCCGTCTCCGGGCATGGAGACTGTGAGGGCCGTTTTTTGAACAAATAAACGTGGAATCAGGGGTCGCAGGGAATACTGAATCCCCCTCCTTTGAATACACTTGCATTTGACCCGAGCTGTTGAACTTCGCAAAACCGCCGTCGAGAAAGGTTTGTCAGGAGTCCCTTGCCTGGACTCAAATCAGAATGTCGGCTCAGTCGCGACTTCTCTTTGATTGCAAGCCGCCAATGTGTTGGAATGGAGTTCAACGCACTCCCAAGATCAAAGGAACCCACCGTCAACCATGCGAGCGAATGAAGCAAGGCAGCGATCCAAACAGTCAAATCAGTGCAACAGTCAGGGCGCGAGGCAAGCAATGAGACATAGTAACAAAGAGACACAGGCAACAAGTCAACAAACTAGGCGTCAGGCAAAGGAAAACGCAACGCAAAAGGCCAGCAAATAGAACAGGGGCGGATGAAATCTAAAACCTATGGGCACCCTACTCGCTAGGTCTGGGACAGAGCCAAGATCCTTCACCTTTCTTTGGCTGCCTTTTGACCCTTCCCTGTTTGGCAGAATCGGAAAAACCCTTTAAAAGGTCAACAAGAAAACAGGGTGCTGCATGTCCCCTCACAGCCCTTCCAACTGGAAAGGGTCACCAAGCTTCAAAAGTAGAGCACCTGACTTCCGGTTGGCCCAAACAAAAGTCCGATTTCCTGTCTCCTAAAACTGTTCCCAATGACAAAAGTCCTGAAAAAGGGAGAAAAACAACAAAGCCCACGTGATCTCCCCAGCCCAAAGGGAACCGGACTGCAAGCCTCCAAATCCCTCCCTGAAAGCTCCCCCAAACCACCCCAGAGTCGCCGATTTCTGGGCCTATGGACCCCATTTCAGCGCTTAGGGGAAGAAAAAACCATGAAACACAAAAAGCCGGCGGGAACGATAAGTACCCATAAGAAAACGGGAATTAGTTCAATTCACCAACAACGATTGCAGGTTGCAAAAAAAACTTGTACGTTGGACATCTTGAATGTCCAGGTTCAGTTGTGTGACATACATACATTGGGTGATACGGGCGTTTCTTTTTCTGGGGGGTGGTAGGACATCACATTTTTTGGGAAATGATACGGGTGCATGTGCGTTTTTTTTTGAGTTGGTACCCCTTTGCGGCATTCCAAGAGAAACCACGAGATTTCAACCGGAAATCGCCATTTTGGGGGGTCCAGAAAACGAAACGCCGAAGAATGCGTCATCGAAGCCTCGGACATGTTCAGCTCCCGGCTCATGAGGTGTCGGGCCATGTGCCCCATGCTATCCTCCGGCACCAGCTGCAGTGCCTGCGGGGGGCTTGAAGCTGGTGAGGGCTCTCAAAAAAGAGTCTTTTGCCCTCAAAAAGACAAGTGTATATATATATATATATATACATACACATATAATACAAAACTAATCATTTATGTATGTATATATATATAGACATATATTTATATTGAATCAACAATGGTTGGTTTGCTCTTGGTTTCTCTTTTGGACACTAAACCCCCTGCTTTTTGGTGTCCTTTCGTGCTTCGCTTTTGGACTTTTGGACTCCGAACCCCCTGTTTTTGTTCAAGAAACATGCAAAACAATCTTGCAGCCAGTCGCCTGAAGGCGTGTTTCTGGGGCTTGCTGACTGTGGAGAATGGAATCACTGAACTAGGCTTTGGCGCCCTGAGGGGTGCAACCCTAAGAGAAACCAAACCCGGCCGTTCGTTTGGCGCCCAGTTGCAGCCCGTTTGGGTAGGAAACGCGTCTTGGGGTTATTTGCATTTTAACTGGGGAACCCACCCAACGAAAAGAACGGCTGGCTCCACATGATAGGTTCCCTCCCGAAATTGTCGCACAAATGGTTTTGGATAACTGGAAAGCGCAGGGGCGCTGAATTTCCCCGAGAGTATGCTTGTTATGTGAGCAGGTGTCTGCTAGGACCGGATGCCCTTTGCGTCAGTGTTAGCGCGCGTGTTGAGTTCAAAGGTCCGACTGCCAAACCGGCAGTCGTCGCGCTTCACTGTCAAAGTCTCCAAGCACTTGGTGTTGCCACACGCCTGGATACTCCAGTTGGCTACTCTGGTCCAGTTGCGCGAGATGTTGAGTGCGCCGGGTCACTGCAACGTGATCTGCCAGCCTGTTGAGTTCAAAGGGCCGCGGTGTGACCCTCCGGCAATGTCCAGTCAGCACGCGCAGGGGCTGAGCGGCATGCTGGCGCGAGGGTAGCGATCACTCTCAGCCGACTAGAGAGGCAGTTTGCTTCCGCGGCGCACTCTCTTACAGTCACACAGGGTAATTGCAGGTCTAGCCGCCTGCTCAATCATGAAGAGCGATTGGTACAAGGACCACGCCTCTGCGCTGTAAATGCGCTGATCCAACCTGTGTGTTGCGAAGGCGCTGGAACCCGAAGCTGTCTGCCTAGTGTTTTGACACTGCCATCTGCGGCGATCAGTCTCGTGCAAGTCGCGTCAAGTCGCGCGACAAGTTCGTCCTTCGTCTCAAAGTCTTGACTGGCTTTGTGCAAGGGTGCAGGTGGCTGGGCCACGCAGCTGACACAAGTGCAAAGCTTCAGGTAGCTCATATTGCTTAGCAAGTTTACGGGAGTCCTTGCCAGCTGCCAGGGCAACGGTGAGCTCGGGTTTGGTTTTTGACCGAATCCAGGACAAGCTGCTGTTCATCCCCTGCACTCAGCTCTTTCTGCCAACAGCTTCCCAGCTCATGCGCATGGCCATCTTGCTGGTCTGTTCAAGCTCGAAGCACCCCGTTGAGTCGTGAGGACAAGTTGGCAGCAGGAGCTCCGGCGAGGTCTTGGTCGGCGTCTCGACGCCGTCACCATCGTCAAGCTCAGGCCGTTTTCACAGGTGAGCTCCCATAGACACTCTCCGGCCAGGTGGTCATGAAACTCAAGCCACCATGCATCTTCATGAAAGTTTTCACGCTCCGCAAGTTTTTCATCGGGTTGAAGGCTGTGGCGAACACTGTGGCCAAATTAGTCAGCTTCCTCCCCTGAAGAACAAGGTTGTGGTACGTCGTGTTCTCTGCCTGGAGGTGAGTGGAACCCAGTTCACATCCCAGCTCAGGACACCACACCGGAGTGGCTCCACGAACTACGCGTCTTGTCTTGACAGTGCAAGCACCGACTGCGCTATGCTGCTTTCAACTCTGAGCATAGCAATCATCACTGCCCTTGCCGCCACCCTTTGCAGCTTCGAGCTGCGTGCCCCACAATTCACGCTGCGTTTGCGCAGGCAAATGTTGCTGCAACCATCTGCCCATCTGCGCCCCTGGCGCAGCATTGTCTTCAGTTGTCTGCCATCGCTGCTCTGTGTGCCAACAGCTCTCCAGACAGTCCGCGCAGCAAGGCTGGCCATCAAAACGGCCGTGGTTGCAAAGCTGTGCAAGAATATGTTGCGGTAATGCTAGATCGATGCCAGCGATTGCACCCGGCACAGACCCGGCTATCAACAAACAACGCACAACTGGCAAGACGGTCCCGAGCCGGGAACTAAGGCTTCGAGACTCAACGCCTGGAACCGTTCGCTGTCAGGTTGACCCCGCAGTCACGAAGGAGACCAGTGAGCCGTGCCCCAGGCTGCTACACCTTCAACTCGAATATGGGAAGGTAGGCCCTGGGGAGGGGTGCTCGTGTATCTATCTATTATATATTTGCACGTGTATATATATATATATATATATGTATGTACCTGTATATGTGTACACATATATATATATATGTATGTAAATCACATAAGAAAACCAGCACCCTCCGCCAGGCCGCAGCACCTTTTGCTCCCTGCGATTCCAAAACTCGAAGATGCCGACCTGGCCGGACTTTCGAAAGATCGACGCCGGGTTTTCGTGAGCCCTTCTTGGAGTATCAACTGGACATCGTGATTCGGTCAGATTGCTTTAAACGAGATGTGTCATTGTCTGGCATTGTTGGCCGAGACCCAAGCCAAGCCAAGCAACAAGATCCGAAACCACGCGTGGGGCTCTCTGCACTGTGCTTTTGCGCGCTGTCAAAGCCAGTAACACGTTGGTCTCTGCGCGGTAAGCTCACATTTACAGTTGCGGAATTAGCATGCACGAAGCCAACTCAGCCAAGGCTACTGTTCTCTCAATAAATTGCCAATTAACGAGGTCATCATTCGAGTTTGGCAAGGAAAACAAAAAGTGTCCTCTTGTAGCATGCAAAATATATACGACCCAAGAAGCGAATGGCTTAGTGACCGAGTTGAGCTATGCTTGCACTTGACACCGCTTTGCGGAGTCCGCAGTCTGGCGCCCGAGGGCCGAAAATGCTCGAGGCAAGAGGACCTGTCGCGCCTTTGTGCAAATGAGCAAAGCTGCACCTAGGTCCTCCAGTAGAGAGGTTAGAATAAGCTTTTTTCTGTAGTCTATTTCAGTAGGGGAACCCTCCCAAAAAAAAAGGTAAAAGGGCACTACTGGGGGACCTAGGCACCCCAGCGAGCGGCATCTAAGACTCGCGGGTTGGGTTCTTGAGTGTATGCGGACCATCCTTGCTTTCTCACTTGAACAAACACACGGGCCGCAAGCGGGCGCCGAGCTTCATCTTCAACAAACGGTCACGGTGCCACGTGAGCAATTTTGAAGGCTTCCCCCAAGCTGATGGGATCCCCAAGCAAAAAAAGCGGTCATGGTACCACTTTAGACTCCCCCAAGCCAACAGATTTTGGCGGCCCTACGGTGCGGAAGGACTTTCTGCACCTCTCCGTCTTCAGCTGGTGGCGCTGCGCTGCACCAGCTCCACCGCCGCGGCGGCCGGCGCCCCTCGCGCCGGCGCCGAGGGCCGAGGGCCCGCGAGGGTCTTCCGGCGCGTGACGCGCTCGGCGAGGCGCCGCGTCAGCTGCATGGTGTTGCCGTTCAGAAAGAACACGAAGACCAGCACAGCCTCCCCAAGCAGCACCACGATACCTCGGTTTTGTGGTGTCGAAGTAGACAGTTGATTTGAAGGGAGGTAGGAGTAATTACCCCAACATGGAACCTGATAGAGGGTCCCTTTAAAAGGGCAATGGTCTTCCAGACCCCCCCCTGTCAGGTTCCATGTTGATTGGTGGGAGGGTGAATTTCCACAACTTTGAAACCCACAGTTAAAAGGTTGAGTACGGACAGTTGTGTTGCATCAGTGTGGGTGTTCTGCCTCTTTACAAGGGTTTCCACAACACATGCGAAATAGCATAGCAGTGGATTCTTCCCATAAAACCAATGCTTGCCATGAAAAACCAGGCTTTGCCGTGTTCCCAACATGTCAGCGGGAGCCCCTTCAACGCGTCATATATCATCCTTAGGAACGGATGAAAACGGGAAAGACGGCCAAACGCATTGTTGTGCAGAATGCCAAACGGGCCATTCTCCTGACTACTTTCCCCATCCAGCACTTTGAAGGCGATTCCCTTGGTATCACAACAACTGGGTCCACCCCCCTCCCTGTTTCGCAACCATGGCCAACCCTGACCAATGCTGCCGGGCTTGCACAGCAAGACATGTAACCATGAGGATGTGGGCGATGATGCCAAACGCAGCAGTCTGCCGCAGCGTATCGAAACCTCATCAGGTCCAAGGAATGAATTTCAGCCAGAGTCTTTTTGCCACCTTTTGCGAGAAAATCCTTCACAAGGGGGTCCATCATTTTTCCCACCAAAGGTGGCAAAAAGACCCCTCCGATCTCAGCTTCATGTGTCCAAAAGGCGGTCTCAAACCTGGGTGTTTCTTCACCGTGGACTCCTGACAAGGGCCAAAGACTGTTTTCAAGCGGAACCCAAATGGAACCAAAGCAGCAGTTTTCAAAATAACCCAACAAATCATCGCACCTCTTCTGAGGTGTTTGCCCTTTTTTCCTGCTTTTTTTTCCCCGGGAAAGCAACAGGAAACCACAGCCACGGCATTTTTTCCCAGGGGGCTCCCCTTTTCAAAAGCCGAGAACCGAGAACCGAGAACCCCTCTTGAGGTGCCGTACTGAGCAGCCCAGTGAAGCCCACAATTCGTCAAGGCGAAGATCACCGTGCTGCAACCTGAATTTCGGAAGGCTTCACCCAAAAGACGGTGGATGGCCAAGGTTGATGCCGCTGGAGCGGTCAACGAATCTTGGAAAACAAAACACGTCGTGGCATATGTATATATACATATATATATATATATATTATGTATATATATATATATTCTCATTGCACGTGTCATTCTTGGGTTGTTGGGTATTCCGAACCCTGATATGAACCACGCATCATGTCGCGTGCAAGACGGGGTGTTTGTACCTGTCAGCCAGCTCCAAGGCAGCTCGTGATTTTCTGGACACATGCCTCCCCCAACTCGTTGATTGCATCGAGCCCAACAAAAACACCCTGCTGTTGCCAGCAAGGAACCTGACACACCAACACTTACCCGACAACCCAAAACCAAACTCCCCAGGCCTATGGCCAGCAGCTGGGGGAAGGGTTCCACTTTTTGACTACCCCAAGATAGACTTAAACCCAGGGCTTCTCCTCTTGGAAGGGATGAACCACCCCTCTGGGTTTCAGTCTACCCTGGGGTGGTCGAAAGTCAAACCCTTGTTTTGGTCCAAGTCGCACTTGTTGAGCCTCGGCCACTTGGTCAAGACCCGCATCACTGCCATCATCATCGCCTCCGGCGCTTCTCGGCCAAAAGCTTTCGTAGCCAATGCAGTCAATCAAACAACCAGCGAAATTCATGTAACCATCTACACCTTCCCATTCTTTCCAGGGATCCGAATCTTTTCAGGAACCCATCAAAAAAAACAGGGGAAACAGATCCGTGCTTGAAAAGAAGGATGGTTGAAAAGAATGGGATCGGAAGCAACCCCTAGAAACCAAGCATCTGATTCGGTGCCTGAAAAGCACATCCCTTGAGAGCCCAATAGAAACTCAAACAGGGCGTTCTTCCTGCTGGGCTCGTCGAGGAATCGACGGTTGAAAGGAGATCGCAGGCTGTCACAGAAACACGTGTCATGCGTAACATCGTGTCATGCACTCCGTCGACCAACCATTAAAGAAGCGAAACTCATAATGCAAAGCCTTTTGCAGGTCATCAGAAGACCCTGCGAGGCCGTAGTATGCCAAAAAAGGAAGAACAAAAACAACGCAAAACCCAAAAACGTATCTTTCCGTGCAATGGTATGTGGAGCATCTATATCTGACATATCGGATGTGAAACAGGAACTGGGTTGGCAAGTCCCTGGAAGGGGTGACACTTCGTTCAAAGCAAGCGCTAAAACATGGCGCTGATGCAGCGCTTCTTTGGATGCCGCTGAACCTCTGAAGTTCCAAACCCAGCTCCGGGCACCTAAATGGCTTTTTTTTGCCATCCGAGCGGCCCAAGTCGGTTGACACAGCTCCATTCCTTTCCCTTGACACGTTTCGACAGGATGCTCGGGTGTGGGAAGGCTTCGCCTGAGGAGCGGTGTCCCAAATTAGGATGCGGAAGTTTTCAGTATTTCAGCCGAGGTCAAACGCTAGTTGAAACCACATCAAACAAAGCCTTCGGCTTGGGAAGGCTAAGAAACTTGCGGGCAAAACGCCTTTGGCTTGAGCCCCTGACCCACCCCCCCTGTTGGAGGAAACATCCAGGGTCCGAGTAAAAAACACCTCTTGGGGTTCAAACTGCTCCGGAACGTCCTGCACAGCCCAAACTTTTGCGTCCGAGTGGCAAAGACCAGAGGAAAGGACACGAACATGATGTGAATACCTGGCAGCGAATCCAAACAACAGCTTCCTGTGAAGGCGGCCAGCGGGCACCCAAGTTTTGACAGATTTCTGGTCTCGATAACTTGCTCTATCCCCACAGCCTGCTATCTTGGCCAGGGTTGAACCTAAAATCTAGCAACCCCATCTGGGCGGCTCACCTTTGTCAGGTTGGACCCCAAACCGGATTGTGGTTTTCCTTTTGGCTTCCGTTTAGCAGCCATCAAAACATCAGGTACCAACTCAAAAACAACAACAACAACACGAGTCACACATGGCCATGGGTCAAAATCCCGTACCCCCAGTGAACATCACAATCCCCACTAAAATAGGTCCTAAAACGGGTGGTGCACCTACAAATGGTACCATTAGTTTTGACCCACAACCTCTGGCGAAAAAGAGCCGAGCAGCTTTGAATCACGCGTGCCCAAGGGCTGGTCCGGCAGTCCTTCCGCACGAGTTTTTCACCCCCGGACCGGCGAGGGGATGGAGTGGGAGCCTAGGTAACGTAACGGTTTTCTTGTGGGATTCTAAAGGGTGGACTAGAAGGTAACCAACGATTTGTTCAACTTGTGTTGTTGGGTGATACTGTGGATGGACGAAATCCGTTTCGCACCACTTTGAAACCAGAAAAAAAAAAAAAAGAAAAAAAAAAAAAACATTGTTTGTTGGCATTTTGTATGGGAATCGAATCAGAAACCAGGGCTTCTGAACGGTGGTGCAGGAATTTGTCCACAGTAGTTGCCCTCACTCATACCCTCAATCATCGACAACCATGGAAGTGGATCAAAGATTCCCGAGGAAAAGAGTCCAAGACTATCCTGTCAACATCCACAAATGTTGGAAGAAGGGTAGCAGGTAGCCCAACAATTGTCCACTGGTGCTTTTTGCTGTTGGGTGGTCCCCTGCATTTGCAGATAAATGATTCCACATATCATTCCACATGTTTTTGCCACAGGAGGTTGCAGCATCCAGATACGGCCCCAAAGAAACATGCTAGGAAGTTTCCCTATAAACCTTGCACTGATAGATATCCACGTCTTGGAAGAAACAAAGGCAAACGGGTCAGTGCCAAGATGGACCGAAGGGCGAACCGGGCGCCGAACCCGTTCAGATGGAACTGTGGGTGGGCCCCTTGAGGATCACCTCCTATCTGGGATTCTACTAATCAGAGTCCCTAGGTCCTCCAGATTTGAGAGGTTAGAATAAGTTGGTACCCGATGTGTCTTTCTGGCTTGTATATTTTAGGGGAACCCTCCCAACCAAAAAAGGGGTGAGAAAGGGCACTACTGGGGGACCTAGGTCTAAATAACATACGTGGACATACACGACAACCTCCCGCCTTTTGGCTTCCTTTTGGGGAAAACCAACAAGTACGGGCTATTTAGCACCCATTTCATTCACTTACCCACAACCGGGTTCCCCTCAAAAAAGCCTTCCTGCCCGAGCCGGAGAAAAAAATCCCGCTCCTGCATGAGGTCCAGTTGGTGCATGGCTGGCCACACAGAAGACACCAGCACAAAGTGGTACGGTATTCCTTAGTTCCAGGCTTTCAACATTCATTTATCATTCATCAACATGGAACCCGACATTTGGGGGTCCTGCGACCTGAACATCTGTCAATTCCCACCAATTCATCAACATGGAACCTGACATTTGGGGGGTTCCTGGGACCCAGGCTTTGAACATCTCTCAATTCCGTGCACCTGACGTTCGCGGGTCCTGGTTTCAAGCATGTTCCTTAAGAGAAGGGACCGGGTCCCGAACGTCAGCTTCCATGCTGATTGGTGGGAGGCTAGCAATTTGTCCATTTGTGTTTATTGATGCCCGGTGGCCATGGGGGAAAAGAACAAGGCCATCCTTTGTTGGTTGGTTGAGTTTGAAGGGGAGCCCTTCTCCCAAAGAAAAGTTGAAACAAGGGTGCTACTGGGCAACTGGGGTGTTTATTGATGCGTTTGGCCACAGGCAGAACCCACTCACCCTTTGGCCAAACAGTCATATACTTGGTGGCTCTATGCTCAAGGGAACTCCTACCAAAAAGATCAAACAGCATGACACTGGGCAACGGGAACACATCCAGATTCAGGTACCCCCTAATGGGAGGTTTGGATTGGTGGTTTGGAGTCAGATTTCAACCTGTGGTTCTTGTAGCGGATAGATGGGAATCCTTAACCACCAAACCACCGGGCTCCAAACCACCAATAAGAGGGAAGCTGATAGTTTGCCTGACTTCTAAAGGGGAGTCGTTTCTCTCTCGTTATGCTGCATCTAGCGAGGTGAAAGATGAAAGCTGAAATACTTTGAAGAAGCTGAAAGATCTTTGCAAAGGATTCTCGGCCCAGATGCTCGCGCCGCGGATAACTTCGCGGATCTGTTGGCGCAGCTGTCCGCGAATCAGCTCCTAGCATCATGCGCAAATTGCGAGATCCCCAGTGACCATCCAAACATGGGGGTGTCTTTTTTACGGGACCCCCCAAACCCCCCAAAGTCGTGGTTTTCCTGTGGTTTGCCTAAAACCGCAAGGAACCTCGGCCAATACGATTGGCTCGCTGGCTGTTGCAGAGAAAAAAGACAGCGGCGAAACCATGATTTTGTTCATTGGCCTGAATAAGCCCAGGTGGTATCCCCAGCCCCAGACCCCCTGGAACCCTCCTTTGGAACCATCCCTGAACGCACCCCAGAGCTTTTTGACCAAAGACTCCAAGCTTCCAGCTGGGCAAAAAACAGCTCGTCCACATAAAAACCGCAAGCATGCTCGCATACATTCTACCGGAGCTCAAAAAGCTTTGACGGCTGAATCAAAGCTCAACATGGTCCTCAAGCTCCGATCAGCGGAGCTAAGTATCAGTGTCTATATGGGGTGAATCGGGTGTGTAGAGATTCCAATGGTGTACTTCAATACCCAACACATACATGCCAACCCGTCAACACAGGAATATATACGTATTTTTCACAACGAGAAACCAACATAAGACCTGTTAGTGGGGTGTTGCGCTGGATTGCAGATGCGCAGTCCGCTTTTTAGTTGCCTCGCAAAATGTGTAAATCGGAGCGCTCATGCGTGTTCCTTTCTGCGCAGTCATGAGAACGTGTAGGGTGAGTGCTGTGGGACTCGCCAAGGAACCTTCATGCACCAGGAGTAGCATCCCCCTGTAAGGCGATGGCCAACCACATCGTGGCTCATGTTCGTATCTGTCTGTTGTGAAGCTCAGCATTGCCAATGATTCTTCTGGGCTGCCCTCAGATCCCCCGCTAAAAGTTTCATGTTTAGTGAGTTAAATGGAAACTACCACTAAACGCTAAAAAGCTAAAAGGCTACCAAGTTTTCTATCACACAATCTATAAAAGTGGTTGGAACAAAGCCAACCCACCGAATTCCGATGCCGAGCAACCTCAGTTGTTGGACAGACAATCCCCATCGACTTTCGATGCAGAAGGGTCCGGTACCCCACGAAAAACAACACACAAAAAAAACAGGGCCGCTAGGTCCGGTACCCCCCCAAAAAAGAAACACACACACAAAAACCGAC